ACCCAGGAAAAGACTCTGTCTGCCCACAGCCTGGATTAAACTGACCTTAAACCTGCTGCTTAATTTTGTTAGTTTAGCTTCTGTCGCCTACAAAAATGGAGGTGATAATATATCTTACAAGGGTGAGAACATAAGGAATGTAGAGCATTTGAACAGTCTGAGTTGAGACAATTTTCTCCTGCTTTGCTTGAAAGGAAGAATATAATAAGACAATAATGAATGGAAGCCAGTTATTGTATATTACAGCTATCTATTAATAATAATGAAATGAAAGTTATTGTATATTATAGCTATCTATTCATAAGCTATGTTTTCTTACTTGACTGTAAGTTCTGTGAATGCAAGAACTCTATGTTATAAATTTCGTATGTCATTCAGCACCTTGCAGTGTATTGGAGGCATTTAAGGTAGGAGGAGGAGGAGTTAGGGGGGAATGACCCACTTTTTTTATTTCAAAGGTATGGTGAGCACCTAGTGAAGAAACGCCATCTACCAAACACAGTTTAGCAACAGCTGTACAACTGGGAGTCATAAAGAGTTGCCTGGGAGCACGGAGAAATGAAGTGACTTGCTTTGGAGCACACAGCCAGGATGTCTCAGAGGTAAGATTTGAACCAGGTGTCCCTTCCTTCCTTGAGGCCAGCTCTTTCTCCACTGTGGCAAGCTGCCTCAGAATTACAAGCACCAGTACTTATGGAATGTTCATTTATTTACACTGAATTTTGACCAATTTTGTAGAATAAAAATCCAGAACTGGTAGGGATGACCTAGTCCAAATCTTGTACTTTACACACAAGGAAACAAAGATCCAAGGTCTAAATGATCATTTTAAGAGGAAATATGGTACAATGACAAGATTCCTGTATTTGAAGTCAGAGGCTCTGGGTTCAAATCCCAGCTTTTCTACCTACTGCCTCTATGATATTGGACAAGTCTGTTAATCCTTTGGGACTTCAGTTTCCTCGCCTATAAAATGAGGCGTGCCAACTAAATAAATTCTGAAGTCCCTTACATCTATAAATCTATGCTCTAATGACCTTATTATATTGGTAAGCAAGAGGATATTCAGAGGCAGGAAATCAGAATGGTAAAGGTGCTTAAGTCTGCAGCATTTGAGAATTGTCTAGAAGTGAGGATGTGTAGCCTGGTGAATAAAAGATTTAGGAGTCCACCTTAACTGTGTAGAAGTATTTTGAGAACTGTCATTTGGAAATGCAATTGGATTCATTCTATCTGTCCCCAGAGAACAGAACTAGGAGTAACAGGTGGAAATTACAAAGAAGAAAACTTAGGGTCGTTGCTAGGGAAGAAAAAAACTCTTCCTTACATTTAGGTCTATCCAAAATTGGAACAGAGATGGTGGGTTCCCCCTCGTTAAAGGTTTTCAAGCAGAGCATAGATTACCACTTGTCAAATATTTTGTAGTAAAGGTCTTTTCTAAATGAAAACAACTATGACTGACTTGTCCAAGGTTGCACAACTATTTATTGGCAGAACCTGGTTTAGAACCCATGTCTCCTGATTTTCCATCCAATAGCTTTCCCACAGCACATTGGTTTGTTATATCTTTAGCTCATACCAAAGACCATCCTCAATCAGAGTTGATCCTGTGAGTAGGTAGACTAGGTAACCACTAGTCTGTGCCTTGAAGAGGCACACACACACAAAAAAACATCTCTCCCACATGGCCTGCTGCAACATCGCCCTCCTCTCCTACCTGGCCTAAAACACCCACCACTAAAATAATTTCCGTGAGACAAAAAAAAAAAATCAAAGATACCTTTTGCCTTTAATTTTTATTGCCTCAGCAATGGTCAGAGACCAAAAACACAAGACTAGATTTTGGTTCCGGGTTGGGGAGTCAGCTGCATATTGGCAAAGTTTCCCAAGAGCTGATCAACCACTTCACCCTCTGCTTCAGCCCCAGACATAACAATGCCTAAATTCAAGAGATGGCAGCAGCCAGAGCAGTAGGCATGAGTAGAGTTCACGGATTCTTAATGCCAGGACCCAACCTTGGAGAGACATCTATGTTCTCAACTATACAATCACATAATGGGGGGACCATGTGGCCAAGAAGTGTCAGTTCTTGATCCCCATTCTACAGAAGGGGGTTCCTGAACAGCACCAGAATCTTAATTACCCCTCTAACGACCCAGAGTCTAAGAGTTCTGCAGCCCAGCCTTCCATTGAGAAATGGAAGAATTCCCATTCTCTAGCAACCTCGAATACAAGTATCCAGACTTTGAGAGAGAGGAGGAAGTACCTGGGTAGAACCTACGTAATGGAGGCTGAAGAGAATCCTGAAATCCAGATTTCTAGAGACAGAATATGGGGATTTTCTGAACATCAGAAAATCATTCAATGTGCCCCTTCACTACTGCATCTTATTTGGCCAGAGCAAGTCTGATGGAAAGGAAATTGATAATCTAGCTACTCCCTTCCTAGGGGAGTCCAAGCCCTCAGAGCAGTAAGTGCTATAAGGCTAGCTCGATGCCTAGATAGGTCTCTGGGTCAAAAGTAGGACCCACCAGAACAAAGGAGAGATTATAATCACTCTTATCAACTCCAAGTTGTTGGGGTTTTTTTTAATGATAGAAATCCAAACCACAAGCATGAGGCTATGAGTCTAGTGGACCATGTAGGGCCCTAGAAGAAGGGGGTATTTGCTGGAGAAGGAAGAAAAGTGTAATCGATTGTTAATGAAGCCATTATGAATCTTTTATGTCATTTTTGTATTTTCTGTGGTGTGGTGTAAAAGTTGTGCTGTATTCCACTCTCCTCCCCACCAGAAAAAAAATCCCAAAATCAAAAAGCCACAAAAAGAGACTATACTGTCCATAGAAGGCCACTGTTTAAATGAACATATGTTAGTTGTGGGGGAAGGAGAAATGCTGAGGGTCTCATCTCCTAATAATAGCTTAGATTGGTACGTTAGATTTGCTAGATTTTCATAATGTAAAACTGAGAGCTGTGCTCTGGGAATGGATAAAAGGACGCATTATCAGAATGTATCCAGACCTTTCCTAAAGAGACCAAACTCAAGTGGCAAGTCAAAACAGCTAGGCCTAGAGAGCCAAAGATGACTATACCTATATCCCTGGGGTGGGGGATCAGAGTCAAAAAGATGTTTGATTTTAAAAGGGAAAACAAACTTCTACTTTACAATCTTGACTAAGGTCAGCCCTAGACAACTGCTACATAGTTAATAAGGGAATGATAGGATTATGCTAATAGTATTAGATTTAACTCATCTGCATATGCCCAAGTCTTGGCAACTCTGCTCCTTTCCACTGAGAAGAAAATGCGATTAATTCACTAATTGATTAAGAAATAAACGTGTGTGTGAAATTAATGGCACAAAAGAGCACAAAATAATCACCTTTTCTTCCTCCAAGAGGCTCAAAAAAGTTCATAAATATTTTCCAAAATCAAATTCACTCTGCATTGCTATAAGGAAGACTGGGGAGCTATTTATTATTCTTAGTCCCATTTTACAGAGGAAGTAGGAAGAGGTATCATACCCAGCTTACACAAAAGTAGTAAGTAGTACTACTATTAGCAGCAGCTATACCTCTTAGACACATTGCTTTAAGGTTTGGAAAATGGGTGTGAGGCAGAGCTGGAATCTAAACCCAAGAGGGATGTGCGTTTGAACCAAACCATATCCAAATGTCATGGGAAACACTTTCTGAATTTCTTTGTGTTGCTGCGGTACAAAAACTGTTCAAAGAACAGCTAATGTTGCTATTTTAGACGTGGGGTGGAAAATGGGTATCTTGACCATTTTTAAAATTAGTGGCTTATTGACCCACATCTGTGCCCCTGCAACAGGGCGTGCTGATTCCTAGTGAAGTATTGAGTTTTTCGGCTAATCCCTCTTAAAAACCAAAGCAGATGATCCTCCAGCTGAGTTTGAACTTTCCGTTAGGCCAGGGCAATCTTTCCGGAAATTCTAAATGAAGACAGATGAGCCAGCACTTCATCAGAGTGCCCTACCCCGGGTGCTTCTAGAAACGGAGGACATCTGGAAACTGGAGAGAATACTTCAGCAGAGCTCAATCTCCTTCTGTATGATCTCTTACTTATCACTAAGCAAGACAATAACACCCTAAGGACTTCTGAGGCAAGTTACAAGCCTAGAGAAATGCAGAAGGAAAAGATCCGCACCAGCTGATGCCTTATCCTTTATACATTTTGTCCACACCTAATTCCTCCAAGTGTCAGAAAACATCGAGGACAAAAAGTTTCTGAAATGGATCAGCTGTGATAAGGAGGGCAAAAGTGGGAGAGCTGGGACGGTGGGGAAAGGAATTTCTCCGGAAAGGGGTGGGGGAGGTAAGGGGTGTGGTGTGTGTGTGTGTGTGTGTGTGTGTGTGTGTGTGTACTTTTATACACACATACGAGACCAGTTCTTTCCAGGAAAGCAAAACACAGCCCAAGCTTGCTCAGCAGGGGTGGGATTATATTTGGACTACCCTGATATGAAGTTTGCAAAAGAAGTAGCTGAGAGCTGCCGGTGGGATGATTCTCCATGAAATCTGATGATTTTCCGTATTCAGAGTCTGAAGAATTTGGGTTTTGAAATAGTGCTGCATTCAAAGGAGCGGCAATAAAATAGAGGCCAGGTTCCCATACCGTCGATTTCTCAAGGATTACATTGTCACGGGTGTGCTTGGAGTCAGGATGTTAACTGCTTCCCCTCCAGCCTCGGGTGGTCATTAATGATCCCTTACAGGCACAACTTCGAGGCAGCTTAGATTGCTACCCCTCACCCACCCCCACCCCGAAATAGCTGCAGCCTGCCTTCCAACCCAGGGACAGCGATTCCCCTTTTCCTCCCCCACTTTTTTTTTGTGCACAAAGTTAGACTGGATGGAGGGGGGGGGGGAGCCGGGAATTGCCTGGCCGGGGATGGGGGTGGAGAGCGCGAGTACAAGCTGCCCAGCTTTCATATTTCTAAGCACCATTGTTTGCAGAGAAGAAGAAAAGTCACTAACCTTGCCTCTTGTCCGGAAAGGAAAACGCGCCTGGCTGAGACTGTCTATCATTGCACAGCGCCCGAAAGTCGAGGAACTGGACCACAAGAAAAATATTCCCGACCCAGTTCCTCAGAACCCATGGCATGATTCAGTTGTTGGGAAGAGGGGAGAAGAAGAAAGAAAGAAGAGAAAAGAAAGAAAGGAAAAGCGGTATTACTAAGTTTTGCACTTAGCTTAAAGAATAAAGTCCGTGCATATGTCTGGAGCAGAATGAGTCTGAGGGACATGGCCCTAGGGTGGGCGAGAAGCTAGTGTGAGCTGCAAAGACTGTCTTTTTTTTTGCACAGAGAGGGGCCAGTTACCTTTCTACAGCCCCCCCCCCCGCCTTCCCCCACTCCCTCCCTGAAAGGGGAGTGATCAAGCCAACAGTGTCTGCTTTCTTAGGGGCGTGGGTTGGGTCACAGCAAGAGGGAGACGCCCAGGGCCACCCCGCCGCTCCCCCGCCCCGCAACCATTTGCATGGCCCAGAGCTTTGCCTCTGCATCTCTCCCTGGGGCTCCCCTCCCCCGAACTCCTTCAGTCCCGCCCAGAGGCTCTGGAGAAGCTGACGGATCCAAACCAAATAGGGGAGGCTAAAAGTTACCCAGGGCTGGAGGAGGAGGCGGGTTGGGGAAAGGTTAGGGTTCTGCTGGGCAAGAAAGGACAGGAAAAAGAGCGAGCCTTTGGACCTAGGATCAGGGGGCAACCCTGCAGGTATGGAGAAAAAGGGGTACTTTCTCTTCCGCTTCTGATGCTTTTTCCCCAAGAGGTCCCTAAAGCGTTATTCACATCCTCACCTTTCTCCTCAACCAGTCTGATTTCTCCTATCTCAAACTATCCCTGGTAGGCTCGAATTCCGTATATAACAGAGAACTGGGCAGCTTTCTTTCAGCGATGCCTCAGAAAGACTGCAGAAGATAGGGGACAATAGAGACTAAATTAAAAGGCTACAGCTGGGAATAATAATATTTAAAAAAAAAAAAGAGTTGACCAGGAGACTAATTAGCTTAAACCAGGTTGAAATATACCAGAAAGCATTAGCTGTTTGAGTTCACCTATGGAGTGCATTTCACCCACCTCCTGCCTGAGTCCTGCCTTTTATCTAACTGGTGGCCAAAATGCCTGAGAAGTTAGCCAGCTGCCTAAAGCAAGGTAGTTCAGCCCCTAAAGAGAAAGGGCTTTTGGAGCTTGGGCTGCCTGGTTCCTGAAAAACTGACTCACTACGCCCTGGAAGAGTCCTGTCTGACCTGAGCTGCAGCATGCCCTGCAAGCTGTCTACTGTGTAGCACAGGATGGGCAGGACGACCTCCCACTCAAGGCAATGGGGAGAGAACTCAAGTTTAGAAGCGCTTAAATTTAGGGCTGAAAGACTTTAGAGGAACAGTCTAATTGATCCCCATCCCCCGCCCTGCCCCCCCCCACACACCTTAGAATCCGTCTAGTCTTATCTCGTTTTACAGGTGAGGAAATGGAGGTCCAAATGAACTAACTTGCTCAAAGTTAAGCTAGTACTAAGTGGCAAAGCTAGAATACAAACCCAGGTCCTTTAACTCCAAATTCCCAATATCATCCATTGTTTCTCCTAGAAGGTGCCCTAGTAACAGTGGTTCTCATAAGGCCTATGACAAAGAGATGCAATATAATTCAGTGCTTTTGCTGATTAACTCTTAGCATTAGTGATAGCAAGGATGTGTCATATTTCACAGAACTGTTAGCCTCAATTTCCTCATTTGTAAAATGGGGATAGTGTGTGCATATGTGTGTGCATATATATGTATATACATACATGTGTGGGTATATATGTATATAGATAGATATACGCATGTGGGCATATATATCTATATATCTATATATGTGCATGCATGGGTATGGGTATCAATGTATATATACATAAGTGTGTGTAAACATAGACAGCTAGGTGGCACAGTGGATAGAGTACAGAGCCTGAAGTTAGGAAGACAAAAAAATACTTCCTAGCTGTGTGACCCTGAGCAAGTCACTTAACCCTTTTTGCTTCAATTCCTCATCTATAACATGAGCTGGAGAAGGAAATGGCAAACCACTCCAGTATCTTTGTCAAGAAAACCCCAAATGCGGTCATGAAGAATCAGACACAACTGAAAAAATGACTGAACAGCAAATATATGTGTATTAGCTTCCTCATGTAAATCTATTAGGAGAGAGGCCTTACTTTCTCAAGTATAATATTGGACTTGACCCTAGAAATAAGTAGCTTCATATACTAGGAAGACCACTAGGTCTAGAGTCAGAGGAATCAGGCCCAAATACTGTCTCTGCTATTTAATACTGCCCATTAACCTTGGGAAAGTCACTTAACCTCTTTGGGACTCAGTTTCCTCACCTGTAAAATGAGGGAATATACTACATGGCCTCTAAGTTCCCATCCAGCTCTAAATTTACCAACTGAAGTATGAACTATTATCTAAAGATGCCAACATCTTTAGATGTTGAAAATTATTAGTAAGTCTAGAAAAGGCCAAGACTGGGCTGTAGCATCTGTTGCGACAACAACAGGTCCATGGCTAGTGTGTTTCAGCAGAGATCAGAGCTTGCCCAAAGTATCCACTCTGATTGGCAAAACTCTAGGAAAGCAAGCACAGCTGTAGTGTATTGAGGATCAAGAGGGTTTGGGTTAACTTTGAACTGGTAAACTGTTCCCTGGAGGTCATACAAATTGAACAAGATCCTATGATAGAAACACAGAGCTGGAAGCGACCTTAGAGGCTGGGCTATATTGGTTTAGCTATGATCCTGAGGTAGAGTGGAAAGAGGTCTTAGAAATGGAGGCTCTAAATTGAAGAACCAGCTGAGAAATTTATTAGTCATGTGACCTTGAGTAAGTCATTCCATCTGAGGCACAGCTTCCTAAATTGGGATAATTTTTAATACTTAACATATGTCACAAACTTGTTATAATGAAAATACTTTCTAAATTTCAGCACACTATAGAAATATGAGCTGGGTATAAGTTTGATAGATAATAATGTCAACTTGAATTCCTATTACTGTCTTCAGGTTTAAAGAGCATTTCACCCTGCACTACCACCCCCCAAAAATGCACACTGTGAGGTGCAAATTATCCAAATATTCTTATTCTTATTTTATAGATGAAGAAACTCAGTTTTGGAGAGCTTAAGTAACTCACTCAAGGTCATATAGCTGATAAATTTGAGTGCCAGAATTCAAACTCAGCTCCTTTGATTCCAAATCCTGTATAAATGAACTGACTTTGTATAGTCTCTCTAGATAGTCTTTGTTTCAAATGGAGAAAAGAGTTTGGTCCCATGCCCAAGTATACATCCTAATCCTGGGTTTAAAAATCCCCATCCCTCTCGTACCTTGTGTCTTTCCTAACTTCAAAGATCTAAAGCTTTCAGGTGTCATTGTTGTTTCCACTAGCCCCTGGCCGTGGTCTCACCATTGACTCATTACTGACTCTGGAAGAAAAGCAGCTATTGGCCAAATTGTTCTCAGTCAATTGTCCTTGAGAGCCCACCAAAAGTGAGCTGGCAAATGTTTAACAAGCATCCCTTTTTTTGGATGAGGGAAGGATGTAGCATGATATCATGACATACTTTTAAGCTTTGTCTGCTTTAACATTTTCTCCATCACTTTCTTAAATCTAGACAATCCCCAAAACAATAAATCAAACCCTGATTTATAGGACCAATTTCTGAGGTAAATGATCACACTGAAAATGAAATAATTAGGAGCCTGTTTGAACTGGCTCCAGCACAGCTTTGATCTTAAGTGTATTTCTGAGAATGGCATGCTGGAGTGTGGTCAAAAGAGTCAGAGGAAACAGGGATGGCTTTACTTAGAAGCCTAGAGTTGAAAGTCATTCTACCATATCCAGTATTTGCTAATTAGCCTACCTGTCATGCTGGAGTCCGGTGGTCTCTCAGAGCTCAAGGAAGAGACAGTGATAACATTGTTGAGGGCAATACCAAATCCCAGTCACACAGGCTCATAACCTTGATGGCATTTTCTACCCTTCATTCTCTCTCACCGTTCTATAATCGATCTGTTGCCAAATCCTGTCAATTTTGTCTTCTGGTTCATTATTTTATCAACATTTTGTCTGATTTGATGGTCGTAAGCTGTTCTCATTTTCTCTGACTTCATTTTTTGCTCTAGTTTTGTTCCATTTTCATTTACATATTTGCATATCTAAGTATAATGTAATTTTTCATTGACAACTTCACAAGTCTTGTGTTCTAAAAAAATAAAGTAGCATTAATGGCATTGCTTACTTTTATATTCTGATATTAAAATACTTAAGAAAACTTGTAAATAAAATAACAGAATAATTGTTTATTTTTCATTAGAGCTACTCTTCTCTAAATTTAGCATGGTATCATCAATTTGCTTAAATTACAGAAAAAAGCTTCCTCCCCCCAAAAAAAGATTACAGTGTCTTAATCTATTCCTGTTTGCCCTTTATCAAAACTTAATTTTCCCATAGCCTGTTCTTTTCTAAACATTATCTTTGCTTTCCACAATAGTAGCTAATTACTTGATAAACTAAACTATGCCAGCATGTTCATTGAGGACAACTTGCTAATGGAAAAGGGCTAATGCCCTGATCTCACTTACCTCTTAGGTATTGTGCATGTACTTTAATAGTGGCCTTCAGGAGACAAATCCCAGCTTTTATTAAGCCCCAAATAATGATTAATGCTAAGAATTTCAGGCCACATAGAAGGAAAGAAAACTCTGTGGCAAACTGGTGGTAAAGATATTTGGAATAGAGAGACCTTTCTATACCCCCTCCAGCTCTAGAAGGTTAAGTGACTATTTACCCCTCCCTCCATTCATAGTAATACTTGACATTTATGAAGTGTTTTAAACTTGAAAAGTGCCTTAGATACTTTATCTCATTTATTCCTTACAACAACCCTATGAGTTAAGTGCTGTTATTACCCCCATTTTACAGGTGAGGAAACTGAAGCCTAGAAAGGCTGAGTGACTCACCCAGGGTCACAAAACTCATGAGTGTCTGAGACAAGATTTGAATCCAGATCTTCTAGACTCTTGCTTCAGGGCTTTCATTTTTATTCCATGCTGGTCTTATTGGAAAAATCTTACTTCTTCCATGTGAACAAATTCTGGGGGTACAAATACCCTGAATAATGTAGTATTGTATTTATGGCACCTTTCTTTTGAGATCATTTACTTTACTGAAAAGAAAGCTGCGCCTAAAATATAATCTTTGCTTAGGTGAAGGCAGCATCATAAGCTCTAGTAACAAAATGTTTGCTG